GCCCAATAGTGGGACGGAGTGGTGGGGAGCAGGAGGAGGAGGAGGAGGAGGAGGAGGAGGGGGAGGAGGAGGAGGGGGAGGAGGAGGAGGAGGAGGAGGGGAGGAGGAGGAGGAGGTGGAGGAGGAGGAGGAGGGAGGAGGAGGTGGAGGAGGAGGAGGAGGAGGAGGAGGAGGAGGAGCAGGAGGCTGGGGACGGGTTGGGGGTGCGGTACTGGCAGGGCCCCAGGCTTCGCCGCTGCTCTTGGAGCTGCTGCCTGCTAGCCTGAAGGCTGCTCGGGTTTGACCTGGGACCTCGGGCCTCAAGTCCAGGAAGCTCGAGGCTTGGCTCGAGACATGCCAGGGCCGACGCAGGCGCTCAATCGGGCCGAGCTGCTGGTGTTAGCTCGTTGGGTGCCCATCTGCGCCAGCCCTGGGAGGGCCTTGAAGCTCATCACGCGTTCTAGCTATGTTGGGCGAGGGGTCATCAACGGAGGCGCCTTCAGGAGGCCCTCGGAGAGGCGCAGCTGACCACTCACAAGGTTGAGTCCGACGCGCCAGGGGACACATCAGAATGTTTTGGCATCCTCGAGCTCTGGAGACAGGCCAATTCCGAGGCTGCCGCTCACAAGTTTCAGCTGCCCGAAGCAAAGGTTGACAAGGTTCGCGAGATGGAGCGCCTCGCGAGCAGGGTTCGAAAAAAGGCAAGCGGCGGTGTTTGAGGAGTGTGCTCGTTCTGAACCTCGTGGCCCTGGCCGTGTCGTGCACGCGCCGCCCAAGCAGACGCCTGCTCGAGCAAGCACGTTCGATCTGCTGCTGGCGAGGTCAGCGAACGAGGTCATGCGTCCAAGGGGCCTGGGGGGGGAAGGAGGGCGGCTCCCGATTCTGGTGCCGCTGCTGTCTGGAGAGCGGCGGGGGAACCCGCCGAGGGGCGACCGATGGGCTGACCTCCCAGTGCGTGCCCGTCCGGACTGGGATCTCGGAGAACTCCCTTCCTGTGCCGTCGGGCGCGCGCGGCGCGGACGGCGTGGTCCACCCGAGCCACGCTGCCCGCGCGCACTGCCAGGTTCCTGCCTGTTATCGGTTCCACTTGCGGCTTGTCCTGTGCAAGATCTTCGACACCGCCTGTTTTCTCAGCCCTCCGGCCGCCTGAGACCCCGCCCGCCCGCGCCCTGTCTCCCTAATTTGGGCTACCCGCGTCCCGTTTAGCTCTTGACCGGAAGGGGCCCGCTCCCGACCCGCCGACCAAAAATGTTTCACTTGCGGGCTATCCTCGGCCCGCGGGAGTGGAGTCATCCGCGGCCTGGCGGAGGAGCGCGGCCCACCCTCGAAGGCGGGCGTCGGCAGCCTGCAGCTGCCTGGAGAGAGGAGGGCGGCCAGGGCACCTCGCGACAGCGGAGGATGTCACCAGGGCCCAGCCGCCAAGTTGCCACACGAAAGCGGGGGCCCCATACGTAGACCCACCCCAGGACGCTGTCCACACACGGGGAAACAAGAAGCATCATCATCAGCATCATCAGCATCAGCATCATCATCATCATCATCAACAACAACAACAGCAGCAACATCATCAGCATCACCTTCACCATTACCATCACCCGCATCATCACCACCATCATCAGCATCACCATCATCAGCAGCAGCAACATCACCATCATCAACAACAACACCATCAGCAGAAGCAGCATAATCATCGCCATGATCATCACCATCAGCAGCAGCATCATCATGAGCATCATCGTCATCAAAAGCATCACCAGCAACATCCGCATCAACATCATTTCATCAGCGTCATCACCTTCATACGCAGCAAGATCATCAACATCAGCATAAGCTTCATCAGCATCATAACCGTCATTATCACCAACGTCATCATGCTCATCATCGAAATCGACATCGATACCGCATCATCATTACCAGCATGAGCATCACCATCATCACCATCACCATCCCCATCCCCATCCCCATCACCAGCACTGGCACCAGCACCATCACCACCACAATCATCATGATCAACATTAGCAACCTCACCGCCACAACCACCATGATCATCATCGTCAGCATGATCATCAGCATAATCTTCTCCACCATAAGCATCATCAGCAGCAGCAGCATCATCATCATCAACATCATCATACTCATCTTCAGCTTGGAATCCTTGGGGGGGGGGCTGAGCGGCATCCGCCCCCTTTGTCCCACGACTTGCTGGTTGAATTGCATGCTGGCGCAAGTGTCGCTGCAATAGACCAATGACCCGAGCAAGGATGAGCGGACGTATGGTATGAAAAGTGGGTGACGGAGGGACGGAGGGAGAGAGAGAGAGAGAGAGAGAGAGAGAGAGAGAAAACCCCAAACAAGTGTCGAGGCAGCTCGCGCCGACACGGCTCCAGATTCCCCCTCCCTGCTCCTAACCTTCCTTCGACTCCCCCTCCTCTCTTCGACATCGTCATCGGTAGCGTCATCATCGTCATCGCTATCGTCACCATCACGATCACCATCGCCATCATCATCATCATCATCAGCATCATCATCATCATCATCATCATCACCATCAGCCTAGTCATCAGCCTTGTCATCGTCTTGATCGTCATGATCATCATCATCATCATCATCATCATCATCATCATCATCATCAGCATCATCATCCTCATCAGAAGCATCCGTATCATCAGCATCGTCACCAGCAGCATCAGCACCATCATCACCATCATCATCAGCACCATCACCATCGGCATCATGATCCAGATCGTCATCATCATCACCAGCATCATCACCCGCATCGCCACCATCATTACCATCGCCAGCATCACCATCGCAGCCACGACAATCTCCATCATCGACAGCATCATGATCATACAGTAACCATCTACATTCTCATCCTCAGCATCATCATCAGCATCATCTTCACCATTACCATATTCAGAATCATCGGCAACATCAACGGAGCAGCATCAGCGTCACCATCAGCATCATCATAAGGTTCAGCATCACCTTCATCATCATCATCATCATCATCATCATCATCATCATCATCATCATCACCGCCACCACCATCACTAGCATCAGCACAATTTCGACGTTCTTTCCATAACCTCCATCATCAGCCTCGTACTTATCAGAGACAGCATCACCATCGTCAACATCATGATTATAAACAGCACCAACAACAGCAGCATCAGCATCAGCATCAACAGCATCATCATCCGAGTCCGCATCTTCATCATCATAATAATAACCAACATCATCAGAGCGAGCACCAGCATCAGCATCAGCATCATCACCATCATCACCATCATCATCAGCATCATCATGATGATCATGATCATAATCATCAACAGCATCAGCATCACCATCATCAACCGAGTCATCATCCTCGTCAGCATCCTCATCATCCTCATCATCATCCTAATCAGCATCATCATCACCGTCACCATCACCATCGCCATCGCCATCACCAATACCACCACCACCATCCTCCTCCTCCTCATCATCATTCCCTCCTCCTGCTCCTCGGTCTACCTGCTCTCTCCTGCCCCTTCCCGCAGGCGGCGCGGAGAGGCAGTCGGCCGGCGGAGGCGCCATTTTCAGGTCGACCCATGGGGCCCAGTTGATGTGGCCCCAGTTGAATTCCTGGCGGGTCTTCGTCCCCATCCCTACTCCTCCTCTTCCTCCTCCTCCTCCGCCTCCTCCTTCTCCTGCTCCTCCTCCTCCTCCGCCTTCTCCTCCTCCTCCTCCTCCTCCTCCGCCTGCTCCTTATCCTCCTCCTGCTCTCCCTCCTCGTGCTCCTACTCCTCCTCCTCCTCATCCTCCTCCTGCCCCCCCTCCTCTCCCTCCTCCTTCAACGCTTTGAACACGTCGAATGTGCAACAGAGCTCGCCAACAAGTCGAAGAGCTCGTCCTCCTCCTCATCCTGCTTCCCCGCCGATGGTAAGGGATGAGGTGGAGGAGGAGGAGGACATGGGTGAGGGAAAACGGTTAAACAAGTGCGGTGATCGGAGTGAGGGGAGGGGGATAGGAGAGGGAGGATCGGAGTGGGAGGGAGGAGGGAAGCACCTGGAGAAGGCAGTGATGAGGGGGAGAAGGGGAAGGAGGATGAGGAGGCGGACGAGGAGAAGGAAGAGGAGGAGGAGGAGAGGGTGAGGAGGAGAGGGTGAAGAAGAGGAGGAGGACGGAGAGAAGCGGGAGAAGGAAGATGGGGGAGAAAGTGGAGGAGGTAGGAAGGTCGCACGAGGAGGGAGAGGAGGAGGGGGGAGGAGGGAGAGAGGAGGGAGGGAGGGAGGGAGGCAGGCAGGGAGGGACGGAGGGAGGAGCAAATTGGGGAGTCGGGAAGCGCAGGTCGTTCGTCACATCGCGTGGAAAACGTGCATGAGCTGCGACTGATCTAGAAGATGCAGAAACCGTATAAACATAAACCATCGACGGTCCGCACGGATTTCTTGGATCTGCGCCAAGCGCCAAGCCCCTCCCCGTAGCGCGGAGCACGCCAAGGGCGGCGCTGGAGGCAGGATCCGATCCGAGAAGTCCGCGCGGAGCGTTGACAGTTTCCGTCTGTGCAGTGTTTTCTTCCCGACAAGCTTGCCATCGCTCGGACGTCCATTCCCCGCGCACGTTTCGGCCTCGCGCGTGTTCTTGCCCGAAGATCCAGGATGCTCCTCGCTGGTCCTCGGGGGGGTACCCCCGGAGTGCCTCCCGTCGGCGAACGCAGGCACCTCCCAAGTACCTTCTCCTGGCTGCCCACAAGTACGCCAAGTACGTCGTGCCTCCCCCCCGCCCCCCCTCCTCCTCGTCCTCCCTCCTCCTCCTCATCATCATCCTCCTCCTCGTCCTCCTCCTCCTCCTCCTCCTTCTCCTCCTCCTCCTCCTCCTCCTCCCTTCCTCTTTCTTCTTCTTCTTCTCCTCCTCCTCCTCCTCCTCCTCCTCCTCCTCCACATCCGAGCGGTGCCCCGTAGATCGGAGCGGGCCGCGACGTCCATCTGGTAGCCAGAGATGGGCCCTCCGTGCGGCCGGGCCGGGCTGTCGCTCATGCGCAGGATCCTGGGGGGCGGCGCACGGCGTCGGGAGGGGAGGCCCTCGCCGACGCCATAAGTCGGCGGCCTCCCTCATCTCCCCTCCTCCTCCCCCCTCCTCCCTCCCTCCCTCCCTCCCCTCCCTCCTCCTCCTCCTCCTCCTCCTCCTCCGCCTCCTCCTCCTCCTCTTCCTCCTCCTCCTCTCCTCCTCCTCCTACCTAACTCCTACTCCAACTCCTTCTCCCCTCCTCCTCCTCCTCCTGACACGTCCTCGCCGTCGTCGTCGCCCTTGTCATCTCCCCCCCCCCCCTCTCCCTCACTCCGCACCCTCCTCCTCCTCCAGCCTTCTTCCGTACCCTGCCCCCTCCCCCCCACCCAAGAGGGGGCAAGCCTTCTCAGACGGCGGCGGGGCTTCTTGGAAGCTGCGCTGGCCCGATACGCAACACGCAGCGTACTGACACGGAGCTCAACGCGTAGACTGAAAACGGAGGTATGACGCGATACGTTTGCCCAAACGTGGGCCAATTCGCCGAGCCAACACGCAACGTGTTGACATGGACGCTTAAAAAAACGGAACGTAGTGCGTTTCACAACGGGCGTATCATGGCAGCTAAGGTCGGAAGCCCTCCAGCCTTCTGAGAAGGCCCACTCCCTGTGCCTTCCACTCTGGTCCCGCCGCCGTCAGGAGGGCAGGCCCTCGACAACGCCACAAGGAGAGATGAGCTCTCGGTCACGGGCAGCACTTCAGAACTGACAAAGGCAGCTAACTGAACCTGCTGGCTGCTTATGCTGCAGTGGTGTCTTTCTTCAAGAGGGTGCTTCCGCGATGCGGCCTGCTTTCAGGAAGAGCGCGCTAACTACGCACCGACACATGCGCGGCCTGAGTGCTAAGATGCTTAACATACAACTGTAAGCCATGAACGCGTAAAGCCTTAGCCACACGGTGGGGCCTCCCGACGTCTCGACTCGATGCCGCGAGGGGCCATCGATCTCCTGGCGCCGTGCCCCGACTCTTCGCCACGCTGGTTTCACCACTGACGCGTCGACGCCCCCTGTGCCCTGTACCTCCCTTCCCCTTCCCACCCCTTAGGTTGCTCCTATCGTACTTACGGGCCACATCCCAGAAATAGTTCTGAGCACCCAGACACATTGAAACAGTGCCGAACGACTATCGCCTCCCAGGGCCCGACACGTGAAAACCTTCGAGTGTCGGCACTTCCGTGGAACTGAAAATTCTTTCTGGTGATCAGGGCTAGAGTAGGTTCGAACATCCTAACCCACCCCCAGTCCATCGCAGACTTCCCAAGTGCCGCCCCCCCCCCCCTTCAATGCTCCCTCCCCGACCCCCTGGCCGATCCCTCCCCCCCACGCTCCCCGCCCCCATCCTCGAGCCGTCTCCGCTGCTCCGTCCGACCCTTGCGGGGGCAGAGCCCAGAGATAACGCCCCATCGCCCAGAGGGGGGACGATGGGGGCGTCTGGATCTGCCGTCGGGGACTTTCGCCGAGCGTGGCGCGGCGGCGGCCCCTGCGACACGCCCGGCCCAGCAGGATGGTCAGACGAGCGCGTTCCACCACTCGCAGAGTAGCTGCTCGCAACGTAGCTGCTCGCGGGGGATCTACGATACATTACATCGAAGCAGACATGTGGTGTTCTGCTGTTTGCGAGTCGGCACTTTGCGAGTAGTGGAACGCGCTCGGTGAATGGTAGCGTGCCGCTCGGCCTGGCGGACGGGGGGCCGGGAAAGTATCGGAACGCTGACGCTCGGGGGGGAGGGCGCAGGTAGAAGATGGGAACGCTGACGCGTAGAGCGACTGGAACGTGCTCAGCGTGTCGCGCCGAAGCGTGGTGGGCCAGAGTCGGCGGTGCTGAACAGGCTACTCCGAGTTTCTCAATCAGCGTCGGGGGGGCGTCACCTCCGCCGACAGTCCCACAGGCGCTCCGACCCCCGTCGCGGCGCGACGTCGAGGCGAGGTTGATCGCCGTCGGGGGGGTACCCCCGCACGATTATTAAGAAACCCAGAGTAAGCAAGAGCCCCTGACAGCAATGGTCTCCGGGGCGAGGCGGGGGATTGTTCCCAGCAGTGCCCCCTGGAGGGCGAGAATCCAGGGGACTCTGACACGGCACATTCAAAAAGGCCAGGCGCCAATGCGTAACCTCTGCCTCAGTGCGCCCGTTTCGGTCCTCGAGGCTATCATGGATCGATGCAGTTCGGCTCAACCCGTGTTCAGGAAGGAGCGAGCTCTGCACCCCGTCGCGTCGTGATGATTTGACCACGTCAGAATTCAGGGACTGCCACACTCGCGCGCGCGCGTTTTTTTGTTGACCGCATCGACCGTCCATGCCCATCGCGTCTGATGGAGCTGCTCGCAAATCTGCCTGCGAGTCCGTTGCGGACTCCGCCTCCAACTGGCAAGTGGAAAAACCTTGTTAAACGTTGCCATGAAGAATCGGGGAGACGTAAGACTCGGGTACGGGGGACTCAGGTTGGCCTGACGGGGGCCATCATTAAAACTGAC